CTTTCAATTTTAATTTCCGCTTAAATTTAATTAATAATGAAGTTGAGGTGCGAAATTTCGATTAATTGTTGACATTCTTCAAATGTACAGTAAATTTGTTCAAATAATTTGAAAATAATAAAATGATAGGGAATTTTTTAGAAATTATCAAGATAATATAAAAATTTGATTATCAAAATAAGTCATTGGAATGTTTTATCAAACTTCTTGGAAACAAGCAAATAAAAATTTTTGATATTACTCTTAGAAAAAGGATTTCTAATCAAGCAGACAACTTTTAATTTGATTTCAATTACTTGTTAAAATATAAGCAAAATTAATTTACTCTCTAACTGTCTTAAAAAAATTATTAGAATGGTCAGGAATTTGAAGGCACTAATAATACAGCAATTGCAAACGAAATCATCTTTCAATTTTTAAGTAATATATTGATGATACGAGAAATATTACTAGAAGAATCATGTATAAAGTATTATTTTTGCTGAATAAAACTTTCCAAATTTTGCTTGAAATTTTTAAGCAAATTTTACTTCCATGAATTTTAGTTAGTTAACTTAAAAAGATGAATGTAAAATGATACTTTTTTCTCCATCAGTTAACCAACCAGTTGAGAGCGATTTTCTTTTATTCATTGTTTTCGAGTTTGAAATGGTAACAGAAAGATTTTTCAATGGCATTTTCAGCGTTGATAATTCATTATCACTTCTGAAATTATCAACATCAACATTATGTTAACTCATTTCAGAATTTTAAAAACTTTTATTCAATAAGCATTACTAAATATCCGATGATTTCCCGAAGTTCTACCATTTTTCAGAGATTAAAATAATAACCGAAATAATTTTAACTTTAATTAAATTAATGCTGCATCTCTCACTCATATTATCAGTTAAATTTCCATGAAAACGAACGTTTTTTTCTGTTGCAAGCTAATTGCAGAATTAATATCGGTTGGAGCACCAATCCTTCTATCGAATAAACGGCAAGAAATACGAATTCGTTGAACATCTGAACAGAAAAAAAAACATAAAAATTTAATTCTTGAATTCTTAAATTTATTTCAACATGATACATTTACCTGAATGTGCATAGTGCTTAGAGATCGATGGATCAATATACCAAATGAAGTTATTCTGCCCAATGATTTGTTAAGTTATAATAATAAGAAAATAGAAGGCATGTCAACCTCTTTGATTATTTTACTTCAAAAGGTCTTTTTAGGTATGTTACTTAAATACAGACCTAAAAAAATAAAGAAGGAAAAAAGATATAATATCGTACCGTTACAATCAACTGTATAACAACGTTTCGTTAGTTCGGGAATGATTGTATGTGAAGACATGCTTATTGCAGAATTATCAGCAACAGTACGTGATGGGATTATTTCAGTACTAATCGATGAGACGATTGAGTTTGATGATGGCGCATATGATAGTGATCGATGAGAACCAATCCGTTTTGTCAACAATTCTGATCTGTTCTGTTTTTCATCTATAAAAAGTATGAAATATCGAGGATGATTTCATATCTGATAATATCAATTAGATTGTGAAATAAATGTAATCAAAATCATTTCTGCGTCAAAGATCAATGATATCAAAGTTTTCATCTCTTAACATAATATACATATATATTTTTTATTTTAACTTATTTCTAAGTATTTTTCATCAATATGAAAATGTAATTATTATAAACAAGTAATGAAGAAAGTAATATGAATCTATTAAAAAGTTAATCGCTTTTTTCTTAAATTACTGTTCATTTTAAAAATTGTAGCTTTTTTCATTTATTTTCAAAAAACACAAGCAAAATAGGAATTGCACGATCAAATGCTAAACTTCATTAATTTTTTAATAAATTTACATCATTTGCTTTATTAGTTTCCTTTTTTTCATAAATAATATAACTTTTTAACATTTTTAAGCTTTTTGATTGTTACTTTGTATAGATAAATTTTTTCTAATTTGTCTTAATTACTTTCAGTTTCTTTTGATCATTTCAATTAATTTAGTAATTTAGTAACTTGTGATTAATTTAATGAACTTTTGTGAATGCTTCAATTAATGAATCAAGCAAATCGACATATTAAAACTATCTTTTGCACTTTATCATTTCATCATTAATTATGTGTGGTTAAAGTTTTGGCGTTTTTTATACATTTTTGTAAATGAAAACTTTTTTCATGAGTTCTCACCTGTTGCGTTTGCATTTGTTGAGAAATGAGAACATGTTGAAATGGATCGAAGTAAAGTAATCTGTCCCATCTGACGGTGATTTTGTCGATCTAATGATCCATTGGATCGTGAATTCCGTGTATTATTTTTTGTATTTCGATTACCCATTCAAATTTTATTCCATTTAATCAATATTTAAATTAAAAAAGCACAATTTTTTGTATGACACCTGCCTGAAATTATTCGTTAAGTGAAGCAATTTTTATTTCTTCCAATAAAATTTTGTAAAAATTTTTTTGAAATTAATTTACATGAAAAGAAAGTAAATTTATTGTAATCAT